ATAGCACCAAATTCTGTTTTGCTTGGCTGATGCTAAAATGCTCTGGTTTTGAGAGCATGTGAATGTTCTGTTTTTATAATTTGATATCTTTTGAGCACGTGATTGATTCATAGTTGATTGATGCTTATGATACTCTGTTTTGTGTATAGGTATTGATTGTGGTTTTGATGATTGTTTTGAATTGAATGATTCTAAGGTGTGATATATAGCTTATAATCAGTTTGGATTGCTGAACCAATAATTCTGACTTGGATATTTCTGTTCACAAAGATTGAAATTATGCATATGGCTTATATTGTGAAGCATGGCTTACTTTGTTTTTGATAATGCCAAAGGGGGAGAAAAGGTTGTTGTGTGTGTGTATGGTTTGTATTTGCAGGTGTTCTTACCGGAGATCTGCCGTAGGGATGATCCGCCGAGTAAGATTGGTGAGCCTCCTTCGCTGGTACGCTGGTGTTCCAAGATGGGGGTGGTACCTGCAAAAGAGACTCCAATGCTAAAGTTAGTGTTTGTATGAGTATGAGTCTCGTATAAGTAATGCACGTACCTTAGTGTGAATTAGGGTTGTTTTGGGCCTTGGGCTTGAGATAAGATATGATAAGATTAGATAATGGATCTCGTCTGGGGCGAGATTTCCTGAGATCATTTATGATCTACTTAAAGGCCGAGCTGACATTGCGTAGCGCGTGCCCAAGGTCACCTTGCGCTATGATGCCGAGCTCGGAGCTCGGTTTCGTAGTACGGATAGTACACTAGCCCCCCGAGCTCCGAAGACCGTAGGTCTTCGAAGTTAAGACCGAGCTCGCTGGAGGGAAGTGACCTTCCGTGTACGTTGGCCTGTCAAGGTGCCATGTGTCGTAACTGTCGCTTCTCATTTCGATAACCGAGGCTTGCGCGCTAATGGGCGCGACGGTTATGTAATGATGGCCTCATTTAATGCGTGATCAGGCGTGTCCCCTGACTGGCACGTGTTATGGCCGTTTGAATTTTGGGAACCCTTTTCTCTCTCGCGCGCCTCTTCCCCTTTTCACTTTACTCATCTTTCACTCTTTCGTCTTCTTGCGTCCGCTGTTTCCTTCATTCTCCTGTTCATCTTCCGTCTTCATTTCTTCTGTTTCTGTCGTCGTTTCTAGTAACCCAGTCGTTGTTAGGGTTATTTTCTGAAGAGGAGTACCAGGTACTTCCTTTCTACTGCCTTCTTTCCTCTTTTACGCAAATCTTCTTCGGGTTTTCTTGTTTCTTTAATGGCTGGTGGAAGTGGCGCTGGTTCTTCTGCGCCTGCCAGGGGCAGGGCGCGCGGTAAGGCGGCGACTACTAGAAGAGCCGCTGTCGAGAAGAAGGACCCGCCTCCGCCCAAGGACCTGGAGCCAGGTGTTCCTGGCTACGACTGGGTTAAACGTGAGATGGCAGAGGTCCAGAGTGTGTTCCGGTCCTTCCTGGAAGTGAATGCGATTTTGAGATCGCACAGGGTTTGTGACCCTTCTGTCTCCTAGATGATCCAGCTTGAACCCTGTCAGGCTGGTGAGGGTGTGTATATGGGGAAGCCCACTGATCCTCCCCATTTTTATATGTACCAATGTTTCTTTAGGGATTTAGGTGTCTGCCTTCCCTTCACTCAGTTCGAGTGTGATTTTTTGAACTTCATCAACTCGGCTCCTTGCTAGTTGCACCCCAATAGTTTGGGTTTTTGAGGGCTGTTCAAGTCTTGTGTTCGGTCTTAGGGATAGAGGTGTCCCTCCCCGTCTTTCTTCATTTTTACCAGTTGAAGATAGGCGTTCCGCCATACGGCATACTATCCTTGAGTGGGAGTAGGGATGGGGGTTTGTTTACTCTCTACTCCCAATCGTATAAAAATTTCAAATAAGAGTTTTTCCGGGTTGCTCTTGTGGATGTCGACCCTTTGGAGGATGAGGTGTTTCACTTCGGCGGGTTGCCGAAGTTCCCTTTCAATTGGTGCCCCAAACCGTCTAGGTTTCATGGGGTGGGTCAGTTGAAACTGACGGCTTCTGAGACGGCCGCTGTTGAGAACCTCGCGGCGCTTCCTCGTTCGCTGGATTGCAAGCTCGTATTGTCGCTTGCGAACTCAGCATACAGGGAGAGGGGCCTGGAGAGTGAGTATTTTGTGCTCTTTTAGATTGCTAGGGTTTGCACCTCCTTCTTTTGCTGATGTGTTTTGCTTTTTGTGTTTGCAAGTTTTATGGGGAAGAACAAGTGGCGAGAGCTGAAGCATCGCTACAATGTCGCCGAACTCGAGGTGCCCGAGCCTGAGCAGGAGATTGCCCCCCTGAAAATGCACCGAAAAAGAAAGAGGGGAGAGAAGGAGGTCAGGGGGACCTCCGCCCCTCGTGACGCCAAGGAGGTTGCCTCTAAGGCTGCTGATGTCGACGCGGTGGACTTGACTAGGAGTCCATCGCCCGAGGAGGCCGTTCGGGTGGCTGTCGAGGAGGTGGCATCGGCTACTGAGCCTGTTCCTCCGCCTTCCGATGTGCCAGCCCAGGCTGCTGAGCGAGTCGTGCAGACCGTCGTGGTGAGTAATTTGCCTTTTTGGTCTTTCTTTCATGTTATTTTTCTGTTTTCTAACTTGAGGTCGTCTTCTACAGGTAGGGGATGCTGTCGAGGAAATGACCCGTGCTGCTGGGTAGGCTACCCCGGCTGCCGTGGTGGGTGTTTGGATCTTTTGTGATTTTTCTTTATGTAGCACTTCTGTGAGTGTTTGCCTTAGGGGATAATTTTATTTTTTGCAGGTGAGGGATGCTGCTGGGGCCTCTATGTTTCCGAGCTCTGGGGCACCGGGGGGAAACTTCCCTGTTGCCGAGCAGGAGGTGCCAGACACTGGCACCTCCGATCTTCGTGGGAAGGGGCTAAGTTCTGAAGTCCCAACATCTGCTCCGGCGGCGAAGGGCCCTCTGAAGCATCCGTATCTCGCGTACCGCTATGGTAAGGAGGGCTCGCGGGTGCGATTGGAGCATCTGAGCGCTTCAGAGGAGATTGATTCGCTGTGGAGTGCTGCAGTGACTCCAGAGAAATTCTTCCCTCAGGGTTCGCTGAGCACAACTGATCAAGCTATGATTGAGTCAGTCGGGCCAGTGGAAAGCCTTGATGCTGCCCAGGTATTCCTGTAGAGGAGCACGGCGATTATGGACCATTGGAAGCATAAGTGGTCTAAGCAGCAGGAAGAGATGGCGAGGTTGAGGGGCCGAGTTCAACCTCTGAGAGAGGAGAATAAGGCTCTGAAGAAGGAGAATAAGGTTCTAGGGGCTGCCCTTAGCGAGGAGAAAATGCAGGGGGCTGAGCTTCGAGCTGCGAGGGGCGACCTTGTGAGGGTGCAGAAGTCCCTCGAGATCGCCCTACGAGCCAACGAGGCTTGTGCCTCCCAGGTGGGCGAGTTGCAGGAGCTTGTCGCCTCATCTCGAGGTCGGGTGCGGAGCTTGGAAGACGAGGTGACATCTTCTCGGGGCCAGGTTCGCTCTTTGGAGGACGAAGTGACCTATCTAAAGGGTGAGCTAGTGATGGCGGCTGAGGAGCGCCTTCGTGACGAGGTTGTTCTCAGTGGCAGGGAAGAAGAGATTGCCATCCTGAGATCGGACCTTTCGAAGCTGGAGGCAGAGAAGGCGACGTTGGAGAAGAAGCTTGAGGAGACCGAGTGCTCAATCGTGGTTGATCATAAAAGGGGTTTCCTCAAGGCTACTCGTCAGGCCAAGTTCCTCGCGCCAGGGTTTGATTTCTCCGCCATGCATGTGGAGAAGGTCATCCGCTTCGGGAAGCTTGTCAAGGAGGATGACGTCGAGGACAGCTCCAGCGATAATGCCTCTGCGTAGGCCAATTTTGTAATAGCCAAGTTAATTTTTCCTGCTTTTGTTTTCTATTTTGATTTCAAGTGTGGAACTCTGGGAACATTGCTCGTATATGTATATTTTTCTTTGTCAATTTGCACTTGTGCTTTTCTTTGCCTTTGTGTTTGGCTTGATTTTTTCTATTTGCGTGGTTTGAGGCACACGTTCGATATCTGTTGTATGATTTTATGTTTGGTGATACTTCGCTTTGAATTGATCATGCCGAGGTTCGAACTCGACCTCAGTTTTTCGTTAAGTGAATTTTTCCGTGAAGGTTCGAATTCGACCTTGAATTGATCGTGTTGAGGTTCGGATTCGACCTCGGTTTTTTCGTTAAGTGACTCTTGTGAGGGTTCGAACTCGACCTTGAGTTAGTCATGCCGGGGTTCGAATTCGACCTCGGAATTTAGAGTGGAATGTATTTCATCAAGGTTCGAACTCGACCTTGGGTAAGCGTTCTAAGGTTCGTTCTCGACCTCAAATTTAGAGTGATATGCATTTCATCATGGTTCGAATTCGACCTCGGATAAGTGGTTCGTACTCGACCTCAAATTTAGAGTGATATGCATTTCAACAAGGTTCGAATTCGACCTCGGATAAGTGGTTCGTACTCGACCTCAAATTTAGAGTGATATGCATTTCGCCAAGGTCCGAATTCGACCTCAGATAAGTGGTTCGTACTCGACCTCAAATTTAGAGTGATATGCATTTCGCCAAGGTTCAAATTCGACCTCGGGTAAGCATGTTAAGCATAGGGCATTTTGTAGTAAGATGATGAAGATAAAAGAATGTGAATAAAGAAGAATGAGTTATTTTATTGATGAATATATGTGCCTCGTTAAAAACCCTCTCAGCCAAAACCCATTTTTCTGTTTTTTGGGACAAAAGACTGAGGCGAGAAAAGAGTGCACAGCTCATTCGTACAAGATTTAACTAAAATAAAACTTGAGATGCGTAGCATTCCAAGTTCGCGGTATAGGTTTTCCGCTGAGCTCCTCCAGTCGGTAGGCTCCATTCTCCAAGTCTTCTGTAACTCGGAATGGGCCACCCCAAGTGGGTGCGAGCTTCCCATTTGACGTGTCTTTTCGTGCTTTGCCCAGTCACTCGGGTGTTGTATCTTTGGGAAGCTCGGAGTTTGTAGGCTTCTTCGTGGATTTGAGCTTTGTCTCAAAGCTCGTCCACCAAGTCGAGGTCAGCTGCCAACTCTCGAGCATTCTGTTTGTTGTTGAAAACTTGGCGTCTGTGGGACGTTTCCCCGACTTCTACTAGGATCATTGCGTCAGCTCCGTAGGTTAGCCTGTAAGGCGTCTCTTGCGTGGTTGACTGGGGGGCGCAATGATATGCCCATAGGATGCTGGGGAGCTCGTCGGGCCATTGTCCTTTGGGGCTTCCTAGCCGCTTCTTAAGTTCCCAGAGGATGACCTTGCTGGCGGCTTCAGCTTGGCCGTTGGTTTGGGGGTGTTCCACCGAGGTCGGGAGATGCTTAATGCCGAGCTCTCGGAGGAAGTCTTTGAATCCTTGTGCAATGAATTGTTGCCCGTTGTCGGTAACGAGGGTGTGAGGGATTCCGAATCTACAAACAATGTTTCTCCAGGTAAATCTTTGCACGTTCTCCGTGGTGATTTTGGCGAGTGGGCATGCCTCAATCCACTTGGTGAAGTAGTCGATTGCTACCAGGAGGAATTTGAGTTGGCCTTTCACAGGGGGGAATGGCCCGAGGATGTCTATTCCCCACTGGGAAAAAGGCCATGCCGACATCATGTGGTGGAGAGTCTCGGGTGGTTGCCGGTGTGTGTTGCCGAACTGCTGGCAGTCTTTGCACTTTTGTATGTAGTTCTAGAAATCTAACTTCAGAGTGGGCCAGTAGTACCCAGCTCGGAGTACTTTGGTCGCCATTGAGTGTGCCCAGGAATGCATTCCACATATCCCCTGATGAATTTCCTTGATGATATAGGCTTCTTGAGATGTAGTCAAGCGCTTGAGTAGTGGAGTGGAAATGCCACGTTTGAATAACTCGTCACCGATGACGATGAATTTTGCTGATCTCATTCTCACTTTCCGAGCTTCGTCTTTGTCTTCGTGCAGGGTCCCTTCTTTCAAGTAACCCTAGATGCTCGTCATCCACCCTAGGTTTTCGTTTTCGCTGACGTTGACGACTTTGTCGTCTAAGCTGGGTGAGTGTAGGGTTTCTTGGATGATAGTTCGGTGCTGTCTGGGCCTTTTGGTGCTGGCAAGCTTTGATAGGAGGTCAGCTCGGGTGTTTTGTTCTCGAGGTACATGCCGTATGGTGAACTCGTCAAAGGACGAGATCTGTTGGGATGTGATGTGGAAGTACCGTTGTAGAAGAGTGTCTTTTGCCTGGTATTTTCTGATGAGTTACTCCACCATGAGTTTCGAGTCGTTGTTGCAACTCACTTTTCGGGCTCCGAGGTCGCGGGCTAGCCTCAGTCCTGCAAGAAGTGCTTCATATTCCGCCTGGTTGTTGGTCACCTTGAAGCTAAACTTGAGGGATTGCTCCAAGGTGACTTGGTTTGGCCCTTCTAGAATGATACCTGCACCACCACCTTTAGAGTTGGAGGACCCGTCAACATGTAAAGTCCATACCTGGGGTTCCACGGGAGTAGACGGCGTGAGATCGGCTACGAAGTCAGCCAGGCATTGAGCCTTCAGGGGTCCGCGGCTTTCGTACTGGATGCCGAATTCAGATAGTTCTACTGACCAGGCAATCATGCGTACGGCGATGTTGCCACCGGCCCGAAACGGGCTTTCGGCATTCGCG